AGGTGTGTGCAACCATGCTACTTCCTTTAAAAAGAAAATATGCATTTATTTGTATATAGGTGTACATATAAAAAAATTTCTGTGTGAGTATATAAGCACGCAAAGCGGGTACACACACACAAACACACGGAAATCATCTGCTCTCTCTCTTCACCGTCTGGGTCCTGAGGATTGAACTTGGGTCATGAGGTTTGGCATCAAGTGCCATTACCCACTGAGCCATCTTGCTGGCCCATGACTCTGCTTTCTAAAAGAGACTTTAAAAACCACTGACCTCTCAGTCTGTGTCCGTGTTTGTGGACTGGGACGAAGAGGTGTCTGCTGCTGTCAGAAGTGGACAGTCAGGGTTGTGATGCCTGCCGGGGTGCCACATGGTCCCTGTCACCCAGCAGATGTTTAAAGATGTTGGCTGTTGTGACTAGGAGTGTATCTCAGTGGCTGTGTGCCTGCCTAGTGTATACCAGACCCTATTGCTAAAGATGTCAGCATTGTGATTACTATAGCTACAGGTGGAGCATCCTCAATCAGAGAGAGACAGCACACCGCAGTCTAAATGTGAAAATCATGGTGTGTGTGTGTGTGTGTGTGTGTGTGTGTGTGTGTGTATAATCTTTTAAACGTACAGTGTCACTTATGGGTTCTTGATATTACTGACAGAAGAATTTAAAAGCAAAGCTGGGTGTGTTGGCACACGCCTTTTAATCCCAGCCCTCAGGAGGCAGAGGCAGGCTAGATCTCCACGAATTCAAGGCGAGCCTGAGCTACCTGTGGAGTTCCAGGTCAACAAAAGCTTTGAGATTCTGCCTTTGGAGGAAAAATAAATAAATAAGCTGGGCAGTGTTGGAGCTTGCCTTTGATCCCAGCACACTGGAGGCAGAGGCAGGTGGATCTCTGTGAGTTCGAGGCCAGCCTGGTCTACAAAGTGAGTTCCAGAACAGCCAGGGCTGTTACACAGAGAAACCCTGTCTCGAAAAACAAACAAATAAACAAAAAACCCAAAAAGGAAAATAAATCAAAATGGTCTTAAGAGAAAGCTTAAGGCCATTTCATTCAAATGTGAGAGAAAAATGAGAGGACAGGCGAGCTGGAAATCTGGGCTAAGAGAAAGGGGGTGGGAAAGTAGAAGAGCAGCGTGCCTTTTGAGTATATAGACCAGCTGTAGGTCTGCAAGGCATGGTGGATGTTGGAGGACTCAGAGAAAACAGTGGGAAAGCCAGGAGTTAGAGCAAGCCCTCTTAGGATGTTGGCAGGTGTCCAAAGAAATAGAAAAGAAAAGTTAAACTTTTGAGCCAGAACTCAGGAATGCATTCAGGCTCAGCAGTAAACATCTGTAAGCAGCTGCATTAAAGGAGGGGCTTCTGGGACTTACAAGTAAGGTAGCGCATAGAAGAGATAACGGTTGGTATCCTGGTCAAGTGATTGACAGGCTTAAGTTGGATTTAAGGGAGAGGGCAAGAATGTGCAAAGTTCTAATATTTAAGGCAAATCAGAATGCCTTGTCTCCACCCAGGGCCAGAGGAAGAGCTCAGATTCCATTCCTCTGAACAAGAAGGTGTGTGGTCTTTAACAAAGTTCTGCTGCCTCCACCCTTTCCTAAGGTAATGCGAGGTGGGGTCTGTCTTAGAGCCCTGCAAGCCTGCCAGTGCCTAACATCAGCCAGAGGGAAATTGGTTTCGTTTTGATTTTGTTTTGTTTTTAAAGTTTTGGAAGTTTGTTTCATTTTTTGTTTTTCGAGATAGGGTCTCATAGCCCTGGCTGGTCTAAACCAGGCTATTGTTGAACTCATAGTGATCTGTATGCCTGTGTGCACGTGGGTGTGGATATTTGTTCTGGAGCCCCTGGAGCTAGTTACAGAGGATTGATGTGGCTGTGTGGTATGCTGGGACCCTCTGCAAGGACAGCAAGTGTTCCGAACCCCTTTGCCGGCTCCCAGGCCCCAGAAGGAAGAGGAAAGTTCTCCACGGCATCAGTACGCGTGTATTATGCCTGCGATTCATACACACAGTGTGGGTATAGGCGGTACTAGAATCACAGTGCTGCTTAAAAACTCACTTAAAGCATTTTGGACTTCCTCTTTTGGTTTCTTATTTGTTTGAGACAAAGCCTTAACAGTAGGCTAGACCCAAGCTCACTGTCCCGCTCAGACTGGCCTCAACTCATAGCAATCCTGCTGTCTCTGCCTCCTGAATGTTGGGACTATAAGCATGGGCCACCAAGCCCAGGAGAGTGAGTTTGTGTCATGCAGTGCTGACTATTACCCAAGACCCCATGCATATAAGGCAAGCACCCCCCTATAGCATATACCCACCCCTACTTTGGATGTTCAGAATAGAGATACCCAAACTGTAGTAGTAGTTGTAATATGATCTACTTATTTATTCATTTATTTAGTAGTGGTTGGGATTGAACCAGGTCCTCATGCATGTCAGGCGAGTGTTTTACCACTGAGCTGCATCTTCCTAGAGCTGCCTTTTGTACATATTTTTTATTTATGCATTTATTTTTGGTGTTTTGAGCCAGGCTTCTATGTAACTGTGTAGCCAAGGTTGGCCTGGAACTCCTGTTCCTTTTATTTCTGACTCCTGAGTGCTGGGATTACATGTACACACCACCATGCTTGGCACTTTTTATTTTGAGATAGGGCTCCACAGTTTTTGCCCAGACAGGCTCAAACTTATGATCTTCCTGCCTCAGTCTTCTGAGTAGCTGGGATTACAGGCAAGGCTGTTGTAGTAGTTTTTAAATGACATTATCACATCACATAAATGTAGACAGAAGTTTCTGTCCTGCCCGGTCTTGCAGCTGTTCAGTCCCATAGAAACACATAGAGGCTTATATTAATTATAAACTGGTCCCTTAGCTCAAGCTTATTAGTAACTAGTTCTTACAACTTAAATTAACCCATAGTTCTTGTCTATGTTTTGCCACATGGCTTAGTAGCTTTTCTCAGTGTAGAATTCTCATCTTCCTTCCTCTGCGTCTGACAGACTGGTGACTGTTCTTGATAAAACCTTGTAATATTTTCCCCAGACACATACATTAATTTATGGTTCATTTCTGAGATTGGGGGAGTGTTAATCTGAGTATTCCATTACTGTAACAAATCGCATCCTCACAAACTATGTTAGCCACATACAAACTCACATCAAATTGAAGAACCAGAAAAACTTGAAGAGACCTTACAGTCTTCCAAACTCAAAGAATCTTTCAGAGATACCTCATGCCTGGATCAAGCATGGTGGTGAGTCTATATTTAAGGGCACCAGCCTCTGCCTCCTCACTTTTAAGTGCTCCTGCGAGAGGGTTCTTTCTGAGCAGGGTTCATGTTGCCTTCCTGGCTTGAGGCATGCGAAACATGTGGCCTTCTGAGTCGCTCCAATGCACACACAGAGGGAATCGAGAGAAGGCTCAGAAGCTATTGGTACTGCTGTTCTTCCAGAGTTCAGTTTCTAGTCCCTGCATTGGTACAGCTCTCAACGGCCTCCATCTCCAGCCCCTGGGAGAAATGACACTTTCGCTCACCCAGCAACCTCACACACAGACTTACACATAGACATAAATACATAGTCTTTAAAAAATGGACATGCAGACCTGTGCACCAGAGTGGCCCCATGCCCTGTCCTAGGACATCTAATACCCGGTTGGCATGCTCTTCTCCTGGATATTCACCCCTACTAGAGGTGAGCACACCTCAGAAAACCTTGTCCCTGATAGTGTGTGGTGGCTTCAGCCCGCAGCTGCCCTTCCTCCCTGTCCCCCTTCCCACCCGCCTCCATCTTCCTCTAAGTCTTCCCCTTTTCTCCTCAGATCTCACTGGCTTCCCTCAAACCTGCCTTTAAGCTTCTTGCAAGAGCCTCCAAGTAGCTTTCCTCACACTAGGGACGGCCCAACATCCAGTCTGGAAAACATGCAGTATTTGCATATGCAAATCAACCTGCAGCTCACCTCCACACCTTGGCCTCGGTAGCCCTGTCTGCTTATTCCACTTTCCTCTGCACTCACTTCCCTCTCTCTTACACAAAGTAAGCACTTTTTAAATATTCATGAGGATGGGCGATCAGTGGGAAGGTGGGTAGAATCAAAATGGAAGCTGGGATAGTGCACTTTCATTTCCTTTCTAAATTCAAAGTATGATCAGGAGAGAGGAATTATCATTTTAAATGTGGCAGAAGGAAGCTGGGCCTTGCCTGATTCAGGCCTGTGATTCAGGCTTGGGAGGAGCACAAGTTTTGGGCTTGCCTGGGCCACAGAGTGAATTCAAGGCCACCCAGAGCAACTTAGTCAGATCCTATCTCAGAAAATAAAGAGGGCCAGCAAATAGTACAGATCGGTGCATAAAGGCACCTGTTGCCAGATCTCTGGACCTACATTGGGTGCCTGCATCTACACACATGCACAGAGATACACAGAGACAGGCAGACACAGAGAGAGAGACACAGAGACAGACACACACAGAGACACAGAACAGACACACACCACACACAGAAACAGAGACACACAGAGAGACACAGATACACACACACACAGATACACACACATACACTGAGACACAGACATACACACACGCAGAGTAAATAAAAAACATTGAAATTTCAGGCGCTGGAGAGATGGTTAAGAGCACTGACTACTTTTCTAGAGGACCCGGGGTTCAATTCTCAGCACCCACATGGCAGCTCACAACTGTCTGTAACTCCAGTTCCAGGGGCCCTGACACCCTCACACAGATATACATGCAGGTAAAACACCAATATACATAAAATAAATAATAATAAAGAAGCTGAGATAGAACATAAAGAATATATTTAAAAATTGAAATTTCCTTTTAAAAAATAATAAAATCAAAGGAGGGGTTGGCTGGGCATGACGGTACACACATTTAATTCTAGTACGTGGGGAAGCCTGGTCTTTAGAGAGAGTTCCAGGGCTACATGATGAGACCATGTTTCAGGAAAAAAAAAAGGGGGGGGGTGGCTCAGCAGTTGAGAGCACTAAGCACTTACTTACTGCGTTTGGAGAGGGCCCGGTCCCCATCGCCTGTCTGTGACTCACAATTGCCTGTAACTCCAGGGACCCCATGTCTTCAGTCTCCACCAGCACCTACATCACACACGTGGGCACACACGTGTACAGAATTAAAATAAAAACAAACCTTTAAAATAAAAGGTCCACATATGTAGCTCAGTGGGAGTGCGCTTGCTTCTTGAGGCCCTAGATTCAGTGACTATAAACACAAAATAAAGGAATGCGGGGCCAGCAGTGGTCACACACACCTTTAATCCCAGCACTTGGGAGGCAGAGGCAGGTGGATCTGAGTTTGAGGCCAGCCCGGTCTACAAAATGAGTTCCAGGACTGTGGTGTTGTTACACAGAGAAACCCTTGTCTCGAAAAATCAAAAAATAATAATAATAAAATAAAGGAATCCATTAAAAAGTAGATGCAGTGAAAAAAATAAAGACATCTTGAAATTTGCAGGCAAATGGATGGAGCTAGAAAACATCATATTGAGTGAGGTAACCCAGACCCAGAAAGACAATTATCACATGTACTCACTCATAAGAGGTTTTTAAACATAAAGCAAAGAAAACCAGCCCACAAATCACAACCCCAGAGAACCTGAACAACAGTGAGGACCCTAAGAGAGACATACATAGATCTAATCTACAAGGGAAGTAGAAAGAGACAAGATCTCCTGAGTAAATTGGGAGCATGGGGACTTTGGGGGAGGGTTGAAGGGGAGGAGAGAGGCAGGGAGGGGGAGCAGAGAAAAATGTAGAGCTCAATAAAAATCAATAAAAACAAACAAAAGTTCAGACCTCAGCATTAGCTGCTTCACCTAGCCCGAGGGTGAGCTTAGGCAAGCTTTCTCTTCCTGCTCTGAAATGAGGAGCCTCTCCAGACCCAGTGCCAGGTAAGAGCTGCACAGGAGCTCCCATTGGAGCTGGGCACAGTAGTCCACTGCCAGCCTGGGCTCTAGAGCAAAATCCTGTCTCATAAAGAGAGGGAGGGAGGGAGGGAGGGAGGGAGGGAGGGAGGGAGGGAAGAAGGGAGGAAGGAAGGAAGGAAGGAAGGAAGGAAGGAAGGGAAATGTAAGGCTGGGAGCCTGGGTTTGAATCCTGCCCACCCAGCCATCCTCATCTAGAGACACAGCAGGAGGGATGTCAGCCTTACCTCAGACCTGTGCTCTACCCCAGGGGAAGAGACAGCCACCACAGAAGGTAAAGAACAGACCTCACTGACACCCAGGCCATGCGCACTTGCACTTCACGTTGCCTTTTCTGGCCCTCGTGTCGTTACTCCCCTTTTTCCACAAGAGGAAAGTCTGGATAAGCATCTCACCAAGGCTGACAGCTAGTGAGGGGTGGAACCAGCAGGATCGCCGTCTGTGTGGATCCTAGCCCCCATGCTCTTCCACCTTAAACGGTAAATATCTAAATATCTCTCGGGGCTGGGAGTATCTCACTGCTTGAGCTGTTGCTGTGTGTGTGTGTGTGTGTGTGTGGCCTCCAGCACCACACACAAAAAAAGTAGTGAATTGACTCTAAGGGAAGGCTGACCGATGACAAAAATGTTTGGGAAACTGATGTGAAAATCATGGTATGCAAGTGTAATGCTGCTTCTCTGACAGACTTTTCCACAAAACCTTTTGTCCTTTAATGAGCCTGAGGAAATGGAGAGGGACAGGCTTTGCTTATGCTTTTTCCGAGGGTGTCCGGGACTTGGTGATGTTCCCTCTGTGACCACTAGGGAGCAGTGGTGTTTCTTTTCCTCCTAGTCGCACCCAATTCTGTGGGCCAGCCTGGGCTCCCTGGCCTGTCAGTGAGGACTGAGTCTCTCCTCTCTCTGACTGCATTTAAGTACTGGACCATCCCCCCCACTAGTAATTCTCGAGGTGTCTCCAGTTGCAGGGCTTTGCCTTAAAGATCTTGCTCTTGTTCTCCACAACTTCAAATTTAAGGCTTTCTGTTTCTGCCTCCTGGCCTCACTTCCGCTCTCTGGGCCCTAATGTGAGTCGTGCTACCCCCCGCCCTCCCAACCCCCCCCCCCCCCTCTCTCTCTCTCTCTCTCTCTCTCTCTCTCTCTCTCTCTCCTGCCTTCCTCTTTAAGTCAGTAATTGCGACTGCCTTGCGTTTGGGGGACATTAGTTCCCGCCGTGCTTTTTTTGTTTTGTTTTTTGTTTGTTTGGTTGTTTTTTCGAGACAGGGTCTCTGTGTAGCCTTGGCTGTCCTGGAACTCACTCTGTAGACCAGGCTGGCCGCGAACTACAGAGATCTGCCTGCTTCTGCTGGGATTAAAGGTGTGCGCCACCACCGCCCAGCTCCTGCCTTGCTTTGAAAGCATTATCTTGCTTTCCTTCCCAAGGAAGGGGCAGACAGAAAAACCAGGTGGACCGGGAGGTAACAATTCCTTTGGGGCTCATCCCTTGCTCTCCACCTCAACCTGGTGAGGGGCTTGGAGCATTAAAGAAGTAGGGCCACAAGGGAACTCACAAGACGGAGGAAGAGCCATTTTAGAGCTGATGATCCATCTTTCTGGGCTACTACGCCCTCAGAACTCTCCACCCTCCCTTGGCTCCAGGGCTCCCTCCTTCCACCCCCCCCCCCCCACCCCACCCCCGTGGTGGCAGCAGCCTTGTAATTTAAAGCTCTCTCTGTCGCCTCTAATGTGATCCTCTCGTTTTATTGACTCTCTCTGCCGTCTGTGGCGCCCCTTCACATCAATCTCTGCTCTAATCACACTGCCGCTGCTGCCTCCCCGGCAGCCCCTCTGCTCTGCTCTGCAGAGGCGCGGCCCTTTCCTCCCCGGTCCCCCACCTCCAGAACACAGCCGCCTTCTCTCCCATTCCTTCTGAGCCGTCGTGTCGGGTCTGGGACAGTTGCCTTCTTCCTTCACCCTCCTGTGAGACTCGCCCCACAGGAGAGCTGCTCCTAAGAAATGCTGGGAACCCCGGGAAGAAATGGCCAATGGCGGAGGGACAAAGTGAACACGAATCTTGGCCCGAGGGTAGCAGGTTACGTGGGCTTTTAGAGGCTTCCATACCAAATCTAGTTCAAGGCAAGAAGGGCAAAAGAAGAAGACAAAAAAGAGAGAGAAAAAGGAAAACAGGGACCTGAAGCTCCAGAGAGAGGAGATGGGAGATAAAAGAGAGGAAAATGGAAGGATTAGAACTTGGGGGACACCCTGACCACAACAGTCTGATAAAGAGTGTGTATGGGGGGAGAAACACTGAGGAAAAGGGGGCGGGAGAAATAGGGGGTGCATGAGGCAGAAATAAATTTGCAATTGAAATTCTTCTTCTGTAGAGGAGGGGTAGGTTGGAAGGTAGGGGAGAGATTTGCAATTTTAAACAGCCTCCAGCTGACCTGCCCAGGCGGGTCTTACCCAGAAGCTGGCCAAAAGCTGAGAGCCCCTTTGATTTGTACTTAGCAGTCAGTGGTCCTTTTCTAGAGGTGAGCGCCTGAGAGAGAGGGATCCTGGGACTTACTCCAGCGTTGTGAGTAGGGAGCCGAGGGAGCGAATACTTGTAAGCAGGGCCGTCCTGCTACCAAAGCAAGAGCGCAAAGTACCCACCAAGTTACCCTCAGCTCTCCTGTCAGGTCGGGTAGTGAAATGTGGTAGGGTCCAACCTGTGGAAGTGACTGAGCCCTCGCAAACCAACAGACTTACCTTCCTCTGTCCCACCAAGGTTCCTTAGGAAGAATGCCTTTCTCCAGAGAGGCCTCGGCTCCTACTTAACTAGAAATCTACACCCCACCCCCAACCCCGCCCTGTTTCTTCACTTCCCTTTTGATTTCTCTCCTCACCCCTTTTACCAGGTACTTATTTGCATCTCATTAGCATACTAATCCCGCCCGAGAGAATTCCTTGAAGGTTCTGACTCAAACCTAGCTGGACTCCCAGTCGGATAAGGGAAGTGGAAAATAGGCTTGAAGGCGGCGTGGCACCTGGACCAAGGCCCCATATCAAATCTGGGAGCCTGGAGATGCGGGTTAAAGATGACCCAAGGGAAAGAGGCCCCTCCTCACCCTTTCTCTGAAGCGGTGTGGCCTGAATATGAGACATTGCCTCCTACAGAGATGGGAGAGGAGTTAGTGGACGCTTAGGGAACTGATCATTTGGAGGAAGGTAGGAAGGAGCCTCCATGACCTTATCCACAATTCCTAATTCCTAGCTCCTTGGAAACTACTAATTCTACCTGTTTTATGTCTACATACACACACACCAAATTTGTTTTTTCTTTTATGGAGGTTGGGGAATGGACAGTGTCTCATGTATCCTACGCTGGTCTGAACTCACAATGTAGCCAGGACTTTGGATCCTCCTGCCTCTACTGCCAGAGTAGTGGGATTATAAGCATGAACCTATCGCCATTATCCTGAGCCGGGAATTGAACCCAGGACTTCCTGCATGCTAGACCATCATTCTAGCGGCTAAGCTGTTCCCACCATTTTGGAACCTGGTTACTATCAGTGGCGCCTTTAAACCTTGAGGATTTCTCTGCTTCCTCGTCTCACAAATACTGTGAGATGAAGTGAGATACTGTTGCATTTCTTTAGCTGGTACCAAGCCCATGCTGTAAAATCTTTCATAGCTGCTGGGACCATGATTACGAGGACTTGCTACTAACATGTTTACCTCCAATTTGGAGCAGAGAGAGCCACAAAGGAGCTACTATCTCCCAACGAGCCAAGGAAATTCCTCTGCCTCAGCGTGTCCCAGCCTGTCTAGATCTGGAATGCACTGGAGAAAGATGTGTGCTAGAGAAAGCAAGAAGACCTCTGACAAGGAGCCAGACCTGAAGGGTTTCTCAGGGTTCATTCATTTGAAAGATATTTATTAGCATGATGGCACATGCCTGTAGCCCCAGCACCTTGGGCAGTCAAGGGAGGAGGAATCAGGGTTATTCTCAGCTACTGGAATGTAAGGCTAGCCTGGGTTATATGAGGACCGGACTGTGTCTGTGAATCATAGAGAAGTAGAAAGCAGATAGAATCCCTCATGGAACTCACCCTCCGGAAGGAAAGGAAGGAAGCCCAGAAACGTTTTTCACTAGGCTGTGAAAACTCTGAGGGCCACTCTGCCAAAGGCTCTTGGACAA